AACGAGAACACGTCCCCCCCCCACCCCCATCGCCGACATGCTATTAGGGCGGCACTCTGACTGCAGCTCGCCCGCGCGAGGGCGAAGAGTTGCCCTGCGAGCTGCCCGAGGGACGTCTCCCCTCCTTCGGTGTGGCCGAGCGGGGGCGCGAGGGTGATCGCCGTTTCGCGCAGCGCGCGTCCCGGAGTGGCCACGGGTGTGACCTGTTTGAAAGACCCCCACGGGGGCAACGGCGGTCAGAGTGCACAGCGACGTAAGACACGGAACACGTCTTAGAGATAGATTTCCGGAGGTCGGGGGGCCCCGCGTCGATCCATAAAATCCGTACGGACTTCCGGAAGTTGATGGTCATGCAGTTTGTTCTCCCTCCATTATGACAGCACCTGTCCGTGTCGCTCCGATCGATTCGATCTGATATCGGTTCCGGTTGGCTTGGTCCGCTGCGAGTCGGACATTCCGACGATTCGATCAGATTCCGACTCCGTGCCGATGCGGCCCGATCCGACGCACATTCCAATTCGATATGATGTTGATTGATCTTGCCGCTTATTTCGTACCGCACAAACCGAGATGACAGTGACAGGCTTCGACGAACCAGCGCAGGCCAAGGTAGACAAGCGTATCACAACAACGTGAGCGACTTTCACATTTAATCGGCAGGAGTTATCAAGCAAACACTATCCATTCAATCACCGACTCCGGCTCTTTCAAGGCTCAATCACTCCAATTGTGTTGCAAGGTTCAGCTACGTGGGAGCTGACAGTGCCTCTTGGTCAACGTCTCCGCAGAAGTGAGAAAACTGATCCGCAAGGTAGTGAACCCACCACAGCGGCATCTACGACGAGCGCGCCGTATTTCAGACGACGGCGCCTCTTTTCTCGAAGCTCCCACGGCGGCTCACTTATAGTCGGTTCCGAGGAAGTCCGCAGCCGACCAATCGAGCACCACCAACGATGCTGACATCGACTGCAATCCACCGCAATCCAGAGCCCCCCACCAAGCGACGCCGATATCGACAGCGACGCAGAGAGTGACGAGCCCCGGGTCGATTTCTTTTGATTTTCGGCGCGTCGTGCAGAACAGCTCATGCGGCCGCTTGCACAGCGTCACGGACTAGGTGACGAAGAAGCGCCGGTTACACCACAGGCTCGCGGCCCGGGTGGCAGCACACCCAGGGACAGGAGGGGCACAACAAGCGGTACAGTGGCACCCCGGCCACACGGCAATCAGAGCAGTTTACCGTTCATTCACGGTGGTCAACGTAAACGGTGGGACAACGACATCGGGGCGTTTTTGGGCAGGCATCGCTATGACGACACGATGCCGTGACATCAACGGAGACGGCGCGGCAACATGAACGGTACCACCTGGCTCAAAGCTGCGAAGCCAAGTGCGGCTTGTCAGAGCTTTGACGTCCAACGCGTGGATGAGATGGGACAGTGCGCGCGCACGGCTTCACAGTTTCTCCACAGGAGGTGGGCCCGACTCGTCCCGCCCGAACGGTCGTGGCTCTACGACCAGTGGGGCCAGACGGTCGCTCGCTCGCTCGCTCCTGCTTCTGGGCGGACTGGAGCTGCTTTCTGCCCAGGGATGGTCTTTCTCTTGTTGCCTTTCGGGGTGTCCAGCCTGCCAGGGGGCTCAGGAGATCGAAAGGGCCGGAAGCGAGGGAGGGGGAGGAAAACGAAAGGAGGGAGCAGATGGGGCGTGAGTAGCATGCGCGGGTTCAGAAGGGAGTAGATCGTCGTCGGAGGAGAAGAAGTAGGACCGCCCCTTGAAGCAGCAGGAGGAAGAAGGGAGATGAAGCGATGGAGGCGCATGAGGACGAGGAGGAGCATGACTACGAGGGGGATGAAGAGTACAGGGGCTGAGCAGCACGGTATAGTGGCCCGAGCTTGCCTGACAAGGATATGCAAGTGGAGAAGGTCTGCAGAAGCTATCCGCAAAGATGTGAGGAGATACGCTGGAGCAGTCGTCTTGCGCAGAGATGTGGAGTGCAAGCAGGGGTTGGGACTTGAGAGCGTGACGAGCAAATCCCTCATCTCCACGGATATGTATTCCTTGTGTCCAGAGTCCAGAGCCCTTGACGGATGATCGAATTCCAGAGCCCTTGACAGGAGTTTGAGGCACATAGTTGTATGGTGGTCATGTCGTCGTATCTAGAGTGCACGCGTGTGCTGTTACATTTGTTTATCGAAGCAGCCCGCTCCGCTACCGCGCCGACCCCAGTGAGCCGTGCACGGAGAACTACCCGCATCGTTTTTCGATGAAGGTTGCCGCCAGTGCTCTTGCTTGCAGCATTCGCCAAACCCATGTTTCGTCTGCACAAGATTGTACGTCCAGGAGCAAGCGATCGAGGAGTGGGGAACGTCTTGCTTTGCATCCAGCGACGTCCTTGATGTTTCCTGAATGCACGGCCTGTGGCTTCATCAGTTGTGCAGTCTATGCCCGATTGGATACAGCAGTGGTGAGTCCGTGTTCTCCCCGTCCTCCTTCTCCCTTTTCCCCCTCCCCTTCTCCCCCTCCACCTGCCCTGTCCCTGACCGTCCCACTCTGCTCAGGCCTCTCCTAGCATCTACATTTTCTCTGAATGAGTACTACTCGCCACTCTCCCTCGAATAATGCTGGGAAGTCGCCCGCCACCCTCCCTGTATCGTTTTTTACTTGTTTTTAATGGTTGGTGTTGCATGCTTATTTCCCATTCGGATTGTTTTTGTTATCTCATAGTGTTAGCACTGCAGCGTTGGCCTCATCTTCGGATCGGCGCTCTGCTCCCGTCAAAAAAACGTACGCCTTCGAACAAGCGCGCGCGGCCCACTGTTTTCTTGATCCGAGTCCTTCTCATCGTTGACGCCACCCCTCCTGTACCCTCCCCCGCCTTCCTCTGGTCCTCATGCTCCTCCCGCTCCTTCTGCTCCAGCTCCTGCTGCTGCTGCTGGTGCTGCCGCTCGTCCTCGTCCCCATCCATCGTCGTCCTCCTCGTTTCCCTCGCTGCTGCTGCTCCCGCTGCTCGTCCTCCTGCTCATCCGCCACCTCGTCCTCCAGTGTGCGCAGCTCCCCCCTTTCTCCCGCGTGTGCGCACAACGCGACAGGGGTTCGTTCTGGAAGCCCAGTTTGGCTGTGCCACACGCCGGCGGATGGAGAGAAGAGATCGGCGCAGCGGGGAGGGGAGGGGGTGGGAGGGGCAGGATGTCGGACGTGGCGCCGGCGCACCTGGCGCCCGCTTCCTCCCCCGTCTCCTCCTCGAGTTCCCCCGTGGCACCATCCCGCCTTCTCCCCGCGTTGCCCTCCCTCGTCCTCCCGATGCTGCTCCGATGCGCCTCGCCCTCCCGACGGGCTCGCCCACTGCTCGCATCGCACGGGCGTGGCCCCGCGGGCCTCCAGATGTGCCCGCTGCTTCACATCCGACCCCCTCCTCCCGCCCGTCTCCCCCTGTCCCGTCCTGCTCCGCCTGTTTTCCCCCCCCCCCCCCCGTTGCCTCCTCTCCACGTCATTCGGGCCCCCTTCCTTGACCCCCCCCTCTCACTCCTCTCGTCTCCCTGTCCTTCCTTTCCTCTCCCCCCTCCCCTCCTCCTGCTCTCTTCTCACCTCTCACCCTGCTCCCCTTCCCTCGGAAGCCATTTTGGCTCAGGACGTGTTGCGCTCGAGCCTTCGAGTGTTGTCGGGGACGTGCTTCAGAACGGCGCTCCTTCCTGCGAGCCAGGACGACTCGAAAAGTCTTCCCACGTTCTGTTCACAACGATCAGCATTTCGCAGCCATGGTGCCTCTGCCGCCGCCGCTGCCCTATCAGCAGTGGCGTCGCGAGCCGCGGGCGCACCAGTCGCAGCAGGGTGGTTCTTCCGGTGGCAACTTCTCACGTGCGCCGTGGAAGAGGAGGCCTACGGAATTGCTCGCACTGCGGCTGTCGGAAGAACAAAGCGGACGCGCTCCAGTTCAAAAATTATGGCGGTCAAGGTATTATGAGTTTCGATGTCCATCACCACCTTCACCGATTTGGGCGTGGAGTCAAGGGCCGCCCTCGTCTTCCCCACGTGTCCAGTGGAGTTGGCATGGCGGTCGATCCAATATCCTTGCCCCTGGCCCTCACGGTGGTGCTCATCCAGTCCGGCTTGGTTCCATCTTCTACTTGCTTCACTAGTTTGTGGTCAAGGGTGACGCTGGTGGAGGTCGGTCTTGGAGACGGCCTGCCATCACTGGTCAGGAGGGGGGCGAGATCGCTACCCTCACGGTCATCATGTCGTCTCTGCGGTCCATGAGAGTTCAAGAAGGGGTGTCGCGTTCCCAGGGCCGTCTCGACACCAAACGGGCGGCCATCGCCACATTGAGTGGGGAGCCACCATTGCAGCAACATGTCAACCGTTGTTTCCACGATGTGAGGGCTGTAGTGTCCGAATCGGACAAAGCGGTCGCCCCCTCATGAATCTACCCAGAAGCATTTTCTCGAGCAGCATGCGCGTGTACGGCTGCTGTCGGCCAGAATGGACAGTGTGCAAACCCAGCACACGCTCTTGGTTGGGAAGTTTCACTAGCATGTAGAAGGATCGGGTATTGTCACACTGGCACCTTCTTGTACTTCACGGCTCTCGATGGATCATGTTCTCGAAGGAAGTGTAGTTCCTGTCGTTTTCATATCCATGCAGTTCATTCTAGATGAATACGACATTTCGCCAGATGAGAAGGCTGGCTTCGAGAAAACGCTTGTGCCGCCACAGGAAGGGCTCAAAGGTGTTGTTACGTCATTGTTTGTTGATGCGAAGTCGGCAGCGGACAAGTTCTGAGCGTCGGTTTTGTCGTCGTCGACGTCGTCGTCGGCGTCGTCGAAAATGTCGGTGTCGTCGGTGCGTTATGCGTCGGCGTTTCCGTCGTCGGCGTCGTCGTCGTCTTCGTCGGCGTCGGCGTCGGCGTCAGCGTCGTCGTGCTCAGCGTTGGCGGCGGCGGCGTCGGCGTCGCCCGCGCCGTTCCAAGGCGGGCGAGCTCACCATCTTCGGCCCGCGCCCCGCGCACGCGCCCTGGGCCGTGCAGTTCGGGAGCGCGGCCCGCGAGGTGTCCACCGCAGGAGCGGGCCCCCCCATCCCCCCCGCGCGGCGCGCTCGCCTGCGCTAGTTTTGGGGGAGGAAGGGAGGAAAGAGGGGGAGGAAGGGAGGAGGAGAAGGAGGAGGAGGAGGGGGAAAAGGAAAAGGAACGGGAGGCGGAGGAGGAAATGGAGGAGGATGAGGAGGAGGAAAGGAGGAGGAGAAGGAGGATGAGGAGGAGGAGGAGGAGGAGGAGGAGAGGGAGAAGGAGGAGGACGAGGATGAGGAGGAGGAAGAGGAGCAGGAGGACCAGGAGGAGGAAGATGAGGGAGGGAGGGAGGGAGGGAGGGAGGAGGAGGAGATGAGGAGGAGAAGGGCTTTTTCAAGCCAGCTGCACACATGCCAAGCATTACAGCAGGGTGGACGGCGCCCCCTCCCTGAGGCTGGCGGCTGCTTTCCGGGGTGGCGCTCTGTTTAATCCTCTGCCATTTTCGCCACCCAGGAGCCTCTGACGCCACAAGAATACGCTTGTGAGGCGCTCGCGGTCTGTTTCGCCCTCTGTCACTTTCGCCACCCAGTACTCTGAGCAAGCGGGCGTCGCTGTCAACGAGGGGGGATCCACGACCGAACAGGAAAATAACAGACGGAAGCACGGAGACAAACAAGGCAGACAACCAGTCTTTTGGAGCCGCGGAAGCCATTGGAACGGACCGCCGATGAGGCGAGCCCAGATGGGTCAGACCAAGATGCCGACAGCTAATCTGGACCAGGTTCAGAGTCGGTGGAGAGGGGTGCTCCCCGACCCCGCGCCGCTGGGCAGCGCGGATGAAATCGGCGCGTCAGGCAGGCGGCGTGCCCCACCTCGGAGCAGCGCGGCCCCCCGTGCCTAGGGGGGGCGACAGACACTGCAGGCGCTCCGGTGCGGGTGGCTTCGGGCGCGTGCCGCCCACCCCAAAAAAAATATGCGGACAGCTAATTTATCATACCGAGGCGCCGAGCCGCCACCAACTCCAACAGAGGGGGAAGGCACGCTCAGCGCCGCAGCCTCCAGCCGCCGACACACCTGTTCATAGCGGTGGCAGGGTCTGGACTGGAAGGGGACGCGCGAACCTCGCAGCGCGCACAAGGACTGAGGCCGGGAGCGAACGACGACATCACAGGAAAGGCGGCAATCTTCGGACCCTTGTTCCCGGGATGTTTTCCACCCGTGACCATATGGACATTAGTCCGACCGTGCCGACCAATGTTTTGGCGCTGGTGAGCAAACGTGCGTATTTTCCCACGAGCATATCTTGGCGCAGGAGAGTATACAGCGATGCAAGCACAAAAAGCAGGCGGACCCATCGGAGACGTGAGAAGGGCAGGTTTATGTTCGTTTCTCTCTGCGAGGTCCACGGTCCACGACAAGCCGAACTGTCCCTGAGCACTTCCCAAGGCCAGGTTTCACGGCGGACTTGCGCCCGAGGCGACAAACAGTGCAACGCCACACATTTCGAACCACTGCCAGTCGCGCCGCGCAGCCCAAGGGGCAATTCCGGGGGCACGCGAATGGGGGCAACAGGGCGGCACCTGACAAGTTGGAGAAGCAGTCTTCGGCAACAGTTGAGACGCTTTACCGTCTGGGATATACTGACCAGCTTATCTCCAGAGACGCGTTCGCCCTTCGAGGCGCGAGGGTGGAGCAACGCTGCCGCCTCGGCGACTTTGCCCGCATGGTCGTTCCCTGTGCGTCTAAACAATTTATTTCCCTCAGCAGACACGTCGGGACCATCGGCCGAGAGGTGCGCACGCACCTTGGCAAGCGACATCAGGTGCTCCACAGGATCCACGTGGAAAAAAACATGCGTACCTACGCACGTGGGACAGACGCTTCGACAGAGGCATGCTGCGGGGGCCACGCGCAGCGAGACAATCTGAATGCGCATCATTGGGTCCTGCACCCTGCAAAGCAAACGCGCCCAGAGAGCAGGGGACCTGGCGGTGCGCTGGCCGTGGACTGCGCCGCGCAGCTCGGCGTCTCCGGCGAGCCGGCATGCGCTCCAGTCAGCTCCCCCCGGGTCCGCTGCCTGACTTCTGAAGAACGACCCATCGACAACCGCGCTCCCGTTCGAGTTCCCAGGCCCCCCTTCTGGATGCCCATCCGGTCGAATCTCCCGATGGCCACTCGAGCACGGCGGGGGCCTGGGCGGTTCGGGGCGATCAAAGATGCCCCGCGCAAAGGTGGCGAGGTCGCAAGGGGGCGAATGGCCATTCGAATCGGCCAACATTGAGGCCGCGGCATGCTCGTCTCGCTAGCGGGCACAAGCCTCGTAACGCCAAAGACGATGAAACAGAGCGTCCTTCTCCTTGCCGCAGAGTGTGCAGAGAAGCTGCTGCTCGGATTGCCGGAAGCCTAGCCCTGCTGCCTTGTTGGCGTTCCAGCGGCCGTCGCGCGCCGCGCTGCGAATGGGGCTGCGCTCCAGCGGCGTGAACTTGCCGGACTTTGCTTAGGCCTTGACAGTATCAAATTAAGAGATCCTTCATATTTGCCCGATGTTGGCCGCCGCAGAGCCCTCGGGGAGTCCGATGAACGCTTGGCAGAGCATGCCTTTAACGGGATGGGGGCTGATACGCGCGAGCAACGCATCGAGCCCGTCGCGACACCGGAGAACCGCGAAATTCTGCGCAATCCACCCGAGATGACGAATCGGAAGCCATTTTGCCAGCACTCCACTTCGCGGGCCGCCGTCGGGGCGCTCGAGAATCCGGGGCCGCGCTCGGCGCAAAGCTGGCAAGGGTAGCGAATGCAGGGAGGACTGGCGCTGCCCTGCCCATGCCTCCGCCCCGGCGAACAGCGGGGGCGACGGCGGCGCGCCCGCGCGGGTCGCCGCCGCAGATCTAAGCGGCCCTCGCAGGTCGCGCTGGTCGCGTGCTTCCACTCACCTGCGCTCGGGGAATCCCCAACTCTCGGTCGCTGACCCCGTGCGCCCCCGCTCCGGGCGTCGCCTCTGGCGACGGCCCGCAGGCAAGAATGCGTCGATTGGAAGCGCTGAGAAACCGCGCTATGCAAAATGCGCCGCGCGCGAACCCGACATTGCCGCGCCCGCGCCTTCCCCTCGGCCGCACTATTTCGGGCGCGATGGGGGTCGCCCAGAGGCGCCGCCCATGGCCGATTGCTGAGCCCGCGGAACCTCCCCCCGACAGCCTGCCGAGCTCGCGCCCCAGGCGACGGCCAGGGCAAGGGCGGCGAGCAACGGGGCCAGCCCGGTCGGGGCTATCCCGAGCCCCATGTCCTTCGTGTCTGTTCGGTAAGTAGTCAAGGCCCACGCCATCGGCCCCTCGTGACGGGCCCAGATCGTCGACGCAGGGGCCCAGCTGGGCCAACGGGCTCAAGGGCGCCCTGGAGAAAGCGCTCATAGAGTACATCGGCGCGATTGCCGCGGCCACGCCGCGCCCTGCAGCGGCGCCGCAAAGCGCCCCCGCTAGACGCCCCGCCAGGAAGCCAGCGACATTCATCGAGCGAGCGGACCTGCGCGTCTCAATGCACAGGCGGGCGACGCTGAAGGAGAAGCCATGGTCGATGCGTCTCTGCACATGCGAGTCTAACCCGATCAGCTCGTGGTACCCATGCATGTCCCACGGGATGGCGGCGACCACGAGGCCGGCGGCGCGCGCCTGCGCGCAGGGCAGGGCTCGGCGCCAGAACATCTGACGCGCCCTTGAAGCCGTAGGCCGCAAAGAACGATAGGACGCGCCCCCCCCCCCCCCCCCGCTCCAACGCCGCCGACCTCTGCAGTTCCCCCCCGCCGCGCTAGGGGGCCGAGATCCAAATCGGATTCAGCCCTCCAGAGCATTCGGGGACATCGCCAGCATCGCGGGCCGAATCTGCCGAGGCAGCGAGGACATCAGCTCGCTCGCCACGAGGAGGGCTGCGAACGAGTCAAGAGCCGCGTCGGAAACCAACGACTAACATGCGCCACGTGGAACCCGTCTATCGACGCAGCCAGCCTCGCACCGCATTGCGCGCTCGCGGTCCGAAGGCCTTCGGCCGAGATCCTAGGGGGGGGGGCCCTAGGGGAACGACTGCCCGCGGGGCCAGTGAGACACTCCATGGAGGCACCTGACAGACAGAGCTCCTGGAACCATTTGCGTTCCTTCCGGATCAGCGCGAGCGGGTCTGCGATGGCCTGCATGTCAGCGGACAGGGTCGCGGGCGGTGGCCATGGCTCCTCAGAGGTGGGCACTGCGCCCGCCCATGTCCAAGTCCTGGCGGGGTCGCGCCGCTCTCGTCGTCGCCCCCCCCCCCCCGACGGGCCCTTGAGCCCCCGGAGCCCTGGGCAGCAGCCTCCTCGGCAAGCGAAGCGGCCGCTGAGAGAAACAATCAGAACGCGCAGCATCCTGCGCGGGAAAGGAAAACATGCGAGCGCCCACTCCGCTGCAAGTGCTCAGCGAGCAACCGACTAGGTCTAAGTCGGGCCTGCACGTCTACAGGAGGAATATTCCAAAATCGCCAAACATAGTCCGGGAGCGATGTTTCCAGCATGTTTGACAATTTGTTGATGTTTCCAGCTATTTGCGCCATCCACATTCCCATTGCGGGAGGACACGCCCGACCGAAGACCAGTCCCCAGGATCCCGCAAGTCCGGGAGGCGAGATCAGCATCAGCTGAGCGGAGCAACCCCGTCCTCCAACACAGAGGAGGCAGACAGACATGGCCATTGCGACGCTGACTAGACCCTGAACGAATGCGCGAGCCAGCGCGCCGCAAACAGGAGGGTGTTAGTTCGGCCCGCTGTCTACCCTGTGGATGTCCAGACTCTCCCCCTCCGCACTCATATTTATGCAGCTCCACCCGCAGATTCTGGGCAAATTCGCGCTCAGCCATGTTGGCCCAACCGCGGTAAGTCATCCACGCCCTCGTTATCATCCTGAAGCCCCGTCTTCGCACGCGCGATCACCTCGTCCGCAAGCTCGGCCACGGCGGGCGAATCGGGAGCCTCGGGGCAAGGA